ACAGAGGAAGCCAGAGCATGGAGCTGCCAGGAGTGGGGTTTGCAAGGCAGAAGCATAGTGCACGCCTCTTTAGCTCTGTGCTCTGGCTTCCCCACCAGTGTGGAGCCGTAGCCACTGTGTGGAGCGAGTGGGAGTTGTGCAACAGGGGCATGGGGTATGCCTCTCCCTCTCCTAGTGGCTCCATCTGCCCACCATGCCAACCCCACTCCCAGTAGCTGCAGCTCAGTGCTGGTAAGTGAAGGTGGAGCATAGAGCCACTGGGACAGGGACAAGCCTTCTCTGTTTGCCTGCTGAGCTTGGGGCTGCTATACTGCACAGGGGACCCAGCTGGGGCAGCCCTGGCACTGGTGGGGCCCCACTGGCCTCCAGGCAGTACCACCCTGTGGGCAATAGAGCTTGGGTGTTTAGGTAGATTATCTGCAGAGAGGTGGGGGCAAGGGGGAAGGGGCTGACAGCAGTGCATGTTAGAATGCTGGAGGCCCTAGATTGCTTATTTTATCTCCATGGAAGCAGGCTGATGTTACTATAACATGACATAGGTAATTTGACCCAGAGATACTCCTCATCTGAAGAGGCATAACATTAAGAGAGCCAGAGTGCATTTGGCATGAGTTTTCCTGCTTTAATATGTGGATGCTCGTATTTGAAGTTCCTTCAGCATAATCTAAGGGTAACATGCAAAAAAGCTTACACATGCACAAATGCATGCACACACATATGACTGGGATCAGATTAAAAGGGAATATCAGGAAGATGTAGGAATACAATATGAAAATAATTAGGGCACTGACAACAAGACTCCTGTTGGAAGCCAAGACCCTCACACACGCGCGCGCACGCACACACACACTCTTTTGCAAGACTGGATCCTTAGAAATATACCCAATTACTTGTCTACAAAAAATGAAATAAAGTATGTCTATGTTGTAATTAATACATGCTTGTAGTAACCAGATTTTTAAAAGCACACATTATCAAATTTAGGATTTACTAGTTTTGGAATTAGATTTCTTTAATCTTTGTTTAGGTAATGAAGGTTTTTAGATGGGATCTATAAATATTTCTACAGTTTATACAACTGAAAGCATGCCCATCACTTCCCCAGAGCAAAAAGTAGTATGGAAAGTTTTTTTTTAACTTCTAAACAAAAATGCTGACTCTGCCATTAGTGGGCTGTTCTTCATCTGACTACTGCAATTTTCTTCCCTTTCTCAACATAAGCCTATCTTAGACTTATTTCATGTTCTCAGCTTGCACAACAAAAACAAACAGAAATTGTGGCAAAATGCCTCTGCAAAGCCTAAATAGGGAGGAGTATATAAACAATTCAAGATCACACTTCCACTCTGGCAACTGTCATGTAATTGCTTATAAATTATAAAGCAGTGAATGTGATGTATAAGACCTCCCAAAGCAATATATTTAGTGTTTCACACTATGTTAAAACAATAGAATGAAAGATTATAAATGGCCCCTTCAAGACCAATACATAATGTTATTTAGTCTGCAACTATTAATGTACCTTGGTTTCAGCCTGCTGATGACAGAAACAGTAAGTTTATGGATTATGAAATGAGTTGACTGAATATTTACCCAAACTGAAAGAATAATATCCAAATGACAGACAGGTATGAGAAGGACAGATCTTTAAGATGAGAAGCAAAGACAAATATTAAAAGTATGCACAGATTCAAATAGACTTACATGAAACAAAAGACTTGTATAAGCATTTTTTCAAAATATTTTCTCTTCCCTTTTAATATTCCCTTTCCTTTTTGTATTTTCAAAGATTCTACCCACTTTTCCTTCCCATCTTTTTTTTGGTGGGTGGTTAAAGACATAAATGTCTAATATCTGCAGAATCATGCAAGGCAACAAATGCATTTAATTAAAATATCCATCATTTTCCATTGAAATCATACTCTAAATGTGATTACACATTGTTCCAGAGGTTTATTTTTGGCAGACCAGAAATAGGACATGGTTAGACTGAACATGTCACCAGAGGACTACATCATACAATTTTGTTAGAATAGAAGAAAATTGATCAAAAGTTATACAAATGTAAGAATTTTTTTACCAAATGTCAAAAAACTACTACACCAATTCCAGTAGCCAACAATGAAGAAACTGAGCCAACTACAGAAACATTAATGATAAATACAAAGAAAATTACTATACAAAACATATTAGAGGAACAGAGTTTGGAATAATACCTATCACTTTCTGTACCAAGACACTGAGATGAACATTATTCTAAACCAAAGAAACACATAACCTCTGCAGAATGATTTCACACAGACATAACTGACTGCATCAATGCAGAGAAAACCAGAAACAAATGGCCTAATACCACACTTTTCAAATAAAAAATGACCCTTTCAGTAAGTAGATTCTATATATGGAAATGTTATCTATTTGTTATAATTTTTCCAGTTATACAATCTAATTATTGGAGGTGTGTCTTGAATTCACCCCCCTCCCACTGCTACATCAGGGAAAATAAATCTGGGGGTTGGGTGGCCCCTTTGTCCTCTGCCCCCACCTGCAGCCCTCCCCACCATCCACTGTCAAACCCTGCTGGCCCCTGAGCAGCTGGAAGTGAGCAGACAATTTGAAAACACTGCCTCTAAATTAAACATGCCTATAGTAATTTGCATAGAGGCAAATTACAATAGATACTCATAAACTTCTTGATAGGTACCCAAATTGATGCATTACCTTTTTTTTGAAACTGCTGGAAGTTTTAGCATAGGTACTCCATAAAAACTTAAGCAGTACTTAACCAGGTGTTCTTGTCATGAGTCCTCGGATCAAAAAATGTATATGCAGATGAGATGTAGGGCAACCTGATCCACCTCCACCTCAAGGAAGGCAAGGCCATACTAGGCATACATGACAGATTTAGAGAGGGGCACTAGAGGGATTTTGGGTGTACTGAATAGGGCCCCGTTCAGTGATTTTTGCCAAACATTTAAGGCTGGTGAAGAAACAGGAATCATTGGAAATAAGAAAGAAAGGCACAGCTCAGCTGTGGCAGTGAAGAGAAAGTCAAAATATATTCAGTGTAGGGGCTTACCATGACATAAAAAGAGCTGGTGCTGAGCACAATGGGCACTCCAACCTATCTTATTCAGAGGGGTTGCACTAGACCAACCTTGAGGTAGGTTCCCATTGGCATGTTTGCCCAATATGAGCCATGTGTTTTATAGTCATGCTCAGTCTTGGCTGGATTTAATCAACTTCAGGGTTGGTCTCCACGACTGAGCACTTTTTTGTGCTATTTTTGGCAACAATTTAACTACAGATAATGCATTCAGTGAGGTTACCTTACATTTGAATGTAAAACTAAGAGCATTGTTCCCCGTGCTTATTATGGAAAAAAACCTTGTCTTATATTTGAGTAAAAAGGTATAGCAAATATTTCAGTATCAGCTTTTCAGAGATCACAATGCCCAATTACAATTCTTGCTTTACACATCTAACACAATGGCACTAGTCATGAAAGTAGTATCTGAACACGTCAGAGCTGAGAAGAAAGTAGAAATGGGTTTTGAATTCTGGGCGAGGAACAGTTCCAAAAGCACTACAGCGTGTTGTCCCTCCATTAGACTGACCCCAAAGCCAGTTTCCGCATAAAGAGGGACCACTGGAATTCGCTTTGGAAGTGTGCTGTGCGGCAGCTCCTTTAATCTTGAAGTTTCCCGTGTGCCTTCCCCCACCACTGATGGATGGAGGGGCCCTGTCGGCTCCACCATTTGCTCCTGAGGGCCAGGAGGCAAAAACCAGTTTTAAATATGTGGTGGGTCTGGCCTCCCATCCGGTCAGCAACAAGCAGCGGGGCCACTGGGGCCCCTCTGCCCATCAGTGGTGGGAGGCAAAAACCGGCGTATATTTAAAACCAATCAAGGGCAAGTGATGGGGCTCCTGCACCAATCAATGACTGCGGGGCACATAGAGGAAACCACAAGATGAAAGGAGCTGCCATGTAGTGCACTTCTGGCGTAAATTCTAGTGGTCCCTACTCGAAGTCTGACCAGCTTTCAGTGGTAATCCATTTATTCCACCAGGGAACACGTATCCCCACAACAAAAAAGGTACACAATCACATAAGCAATATGCCATTAGTAAACAAAAGCAAACCCTCCAGTCTTTCCTCAGACCTCAGGAGAGAGACAATCCTGGCTCGGTGCTGGCTCCTCAGCATACCAGCCACCTCCCTCCTCCTTTTGCTACCATCCCAAGGAGGAGCTCCCTAGGGCCAGTCAACCAGCCTGGTCAGCTGACCCCAAGCTCCTAAGCGGGCAGACTCCTCTTCAGCCCCAGAGCCGTGTACCTCCTTGCACAGACTATTAATCTTTTTAACCCCCTGCAACTGGGCTTTTGCTGTTAAGCCATGGACCCCATTACAGGCATCATGAAAATTTAAAGCATGTTTGCTATTTTTTTTTTAGAAAGCAAGAGCAAAACAACAAATAATCTTTTGAAAAAAAAATCTACAGAAAATTGCTGCGGACAGTATAAAAGAACCAACATAAATGTGGGAGTTCAGCGGCAAGGATTTAATATTGTAATCTTAAAATGGCTGCTTGCCTGATTTGCCTGTAGGTAATACTGTTGGATGATGACTGGCATCATACGCTGCTAGATTTACTGAGAATTTGCCATGAACAAAACTTCTGTTTCTGACACAGAGAAGAACAATACCAAGTGGTTTCAAATATTTCAGAAGAGATCTTTTTGGAGAGGGTTTCCATTAAAGATAACTCAAGTGGAAGGAAAACACATTAAAGGCATTATAGCATGCACACATTTGAGAAAGCCCTGGACGAACCCTATTCATAGTTTCATAGATTTAGGGTCGGAAGGAACCTAGTAGATCTTCTAGCCCGACCCCCCGCCAGGGCAGGAGAACAACAAAACCCCAACACAAAAACAGGACTCAAATGAGTCCAGCCATGTAGGCATCCAGCCTCTTCTTAAAGACCCGAAATTACATGCGCCCAACATGGGGCTCGAACCCACAACCCTGAGATTAAGAGTCTCATGCTCTACCAACTGAGCTAGCCGGGCTATTCTTTGAGTCATTCTTTCAAATTATTATAAGGGAAGAAATGCATTTGCAGAATAAATGGGAGAACCTAGATCTGATGTGGTCAGGTCACAACTCCCAGTTTTACTGTGGCTCCTGAAGAAAGTTATTGACCCAGGGGAATGTACATCTTAAAAGCTATATTCTGCAGTTTTGGTCATGTTAAGAATTGAGTTTCAAGCTAGAAGAGTTAAGAAGTTTGTTTGATCCTGCTATAGGACAGCCTTAGAATAAAGGTGCTATATTTACAGCAGAAGTCTTTGGGGGAAGTAGGAAGAAAGTAGAGCTAGAACAGTAAGTGTGCTGAATAACGTTAAGTTCTTGAAATTTCATAACTTTGCTTGTTTTACCAATAAAAATCAAGTCCAGTAAAGGACTAAAAGAACAGTGGAGCTAATTAAAAGCTTTTTACTTCTAAAACAAAGGTCTTGGAGAACAGTCAAAAATAAAAAGCACATGATTAGTCAAGTGGAATACATCTACCCTAAATCTTTTACTGCAGAAGATCCTACAGAGGTCCTGGCATTAAAGTCAGAAATGGATATTAAAAAAAAATTACAGAACTGTGACTAAAGATAAAACCCAACTATGGGCCTCAAGAGGAATGCTGCAGTAGAGACACATGCCAACAATGTTGACTTATGTCTATCTCAAAAGGAGTTTATTTTGGCAGCTGTGAAAAGTAAAAAGAAATTAAAACCTTGATCACATGGACCCATATCTTTCCTTCCCAGAGCTGGCAAAAGCCAACTAGAGAATACTTTTGTGTGTTAAACAAAACAGATGACTAAGGCAGTAAGATGTCTATTCTTATATTCAATCAAAGAATAATTAATATTTTGTACTATTTTGCGCACATACACAGTACAGAAACACACATGTAGCACATACGTGCAAGATTCTAAGACTATGATCAAATTTGGGTTTATTTAATTACCTAGATGGGTCTTGGAAAACAGTCTGTATTTAAGCAGCATAGAAATAGCATAGATAATCTCAAAAAAGCTAAATGCAAAATCTATAAAGATGTTACTTCTATTGAGTTGTCAAAATAACACCAACTCCACAAACCACATTTATTTGCAAAGTAAAGAAATAATTAATTAGCAAACAAAATTAAATGTGTACACTTAAGCTGAAGTGAACAGACCACCAAACTCTTTTCCCCTTCAATTTGAATAGTGTTCTCTGCATATCAAAAGAAAAAAAAACAAAAACAGTAACTGGAGCAAAACAGGGGGGGAAAAAAGAAAAAAAGAAAAAGAAAGGATTGTTGCTATGGCAAATCTAACAAAAGGAAGCAGTGTCCACAGGAAAACAAGAAGTAGTGATTTAGTTGCACGTGACCCACTAAAAGTAAATGGGACTTGTGCTTTTATATCATGTGGTTGCTTTTGAAAATCCCACTCAGTTACTTTGAAATGTATGTTTACCCACACACATTTACAGGGAACTGTTATTTTAAACAGGTAACTCAATAGGGTATTAGCTGTATAGTTTATACCAAATTATGATACACCTGATAAACAGGCATAATATAACAAACGTATGAATATGAAATGATAAATAGTTGATAAATAAACAGAAGATTTTCAGTTTAATTTGTTTCATGAATATTCAGTGTTATCTGTATTTAAATTTTTTTGTTTAAACATTTCAAATTTAAATTTACAAATATTGACAACATACGTTGATGCATGTTTTTTTTTTAAAAACACCTGATGCGTCAACTCAAAGTACTGTTGCTCATCTAAACGGTTCTGGTGGGGCAGCATCGTGTGAAGATTATTTTGTTATTCAGAACAGCGCATAAATTGTGTGGGGCACAAAAGCCTATATAGATAACATGTTCTAGAGAAATTCTGATACCAATGATATAAAATTAAAGTAAATAACAAAAGGAGGAAAAATGTGGAACTAGGGCACTAGTAAAACACCATAATAAAAAGCACCCACTCGTGCTTACTTAAAGAAGTACACGTGTGTCACTAGATTATCAAAGAAACCAGATTAATACACATTTCTCTGTTAGCACAAATCTGATGGTCTCTCCTAAAGTCTT